CAGCCATCGAGGACTGCCTGGCTCCGTCTTCTTCGCCCAGTACAGGGAACCCGGTGTGATTCAGTGGGAGGAATCTCTCCGAGAATTTATAGTGCGCACGTTCTACATCACTCGGTTGACACCATGTGAGTCCCGTGCTGGGTATCTTCTTCTCTACTTGTAATATATACTGAGGGTGCTTGTTCAGTTCCAGACGGTTGCATTTCACTATCCACGAGAGTTTGAAATAAATTGTGCACTCAAGTAGTACTACTATATATATTTAAATAGGTAATAGTTTATAAGCAAGCACTTTCGTTAGTTCTGCACTAGTCCCATTGACCGCATGCGTACTAAGTAGGGTTACGACTGATTTGGGAATTTTTCAGCATCTCAGTCTCTAATAATATGGTGAACACAGTTTCCGAATGCCTAGGCCTTTGGAAGGACCGGAAGCAGGAAAATGAGCCATTGCACACAGAAAATTTGCCGAGGTAGTGAACTCTAGATAGATAGTTGGAATCGTGGACATTTTTATGTGGCTATTAAAATAACTGCCCTTTCGTCAAATTTTTGTATATACATTCTTCTGCCATTGCATTAAAATCAGTTTCAGATCATCGTAAAATTCCGATGAGTATTTCGCGATATTCCGTGTTTCCAAACTTTTTCCATAAATGTATGTTATGTCCACCTTTCCCTTTATCTTGGTGTGTTTTAAATTTATGTGATTACTTAAATGCTCTATGCCAAGATTGTAAGTGCAACAAAGAGTGACCGAATGTATACCAAAGACTAGCGAATACTGCTAGTATTCTGTCCATTGCGTCTCTAAATTACGCATAAGCGGAGACTATAATGTAAAAAACCTTATCTTGTAATGTGCCTCATATTAAAAAAAACAATTTTAGTGTCCAGCTCCAGGATAAAATGTACGCATTTTTGTTCAGAGCCCCAAATATCGGTGTGGTAAAACGAACTACGGTCAGACAATCATTATTGCGTTTGTGACAAAAAACTTTGAAAACGGACGAAATTTTTTTCAATCTGAGTGTGCTCTTCGTTTCAGAAAAAAGCAGTGTGATTCCTGAAACTTGCTGCCACTTGATTTTCAATACTTTCAGGTCAAGTTTTCTGATTCCAGTAGGGATTTATTAAAAAACTGTTTATATTGGCGTTCTTCTGATAGAGCAACGCGCAAACGTAATAATTTTTGTTCTTCAATAGTAAGTAGAATAGGAAATTTCTTGGATAGCCAACAACCACCGATTTTACCTAAATGCTGCCTGTTTTCCTTCAGTATAAAGACTGAAAATAAGGTTTCCTTTACTAAAAGGCTTTCTGAGCATGAAATCCATTCAATAGATCAAAATTACAAGACCAAATAGAGGCAAAACTACTTACTCACATGGTGACCTTGACATTTAATGAGTTAGGTCAGCTTCTATGCATATTCATACAAACATTTGCACCGTACAAGTTTCGAGGCATGTACCCCTGCGTTTGTTCTTTCGACCGTCAAAATAGATAACTGCAAAATTTATTTCAACTCTTTACTTTCGATTGGTGACCCATCCAACCAATCACCGTCTCCCTCGACTTCTCATGCTGTCTCCAGCCACCCAGTACGAAGTGCGTATGGTGGCCA